CCTCACGGACCGAATTTCTAGGCTGGAGACAACGATCAAGGAAGTGCGGGAGGGTGTCGATATGCGAAACCCGATGCCATATGGATTCGCATCCTACGCACATATCGAGGATGCGCATGCAGTTGCGTACGCGACGAAGAAGAAGGGCCCCGCTGGCTGCGATGTTTACCTTGCGCCCAAACCACACGACCTGCTCTGGCAGAATCTTCCGATGACACGGAGAACTCGCAGGATACGCGCCTTCTGGGACGGTCTTTGGGTCGTCTTGTTCACCATCGCCTTCGTCGTGCCCAACATCTTGACTTCAGTTTTCCTCTCAGACTTCTCCCACTTGGGACTCGTTTGGCCAGCGTTCATGACGAATCTCCAAGCTCATCCCACTGGCTGGGCGATTGCGCAGGGTATCTTGGCTCCTTTGGTACAAACTCTAATGTATATGGGAGTACCCGTGGTGGTTAGTATACCCGCGAACCTTACTTGACCTGTCAGCTGACATGATATCCCCAATTCTAGTTTCGACGACTGTTCACGCACTCTGGAGATGTATCGAGGACATCCAGAGAACGCCATGTCACTGCTCGCCTTTACTCCTTCTTTGTGTTCAACAACCTCCTTGTCTTTTCCGTATTCGGTTCGGCCTGGCGGTTCGTGGCTGCGGTCATTGCTGCCCAGGATCAAGGCGTGTGGGAGGCCATCCAGGACGGTCATCTGTTCACCAAGGTTATGACTGGCTTGTGTAATGTGTCTACATTCTGGCTTACCTGGCAAATGCAACGCAACCTTGGTGCTGCTATCGATCTCTCGCAAGCTTGGATATTCGCTTGGTCCTGGATTCAGCGTACCTTCTTCTCGCCAACTCCGCGGGAGCTCATCGAACTCAGTGCACCGCAACCATTCCCGTATGCCGACTACTACAACAACTACCTCTTCGTATCGACGGTTGGTCTCTGCATGGGCACACTACAGCCTATCATCTTCCCGGTGACAGCCTTTTATATCGCCATGGATTCCGTCTTCAAGAAGTATCTGCTTCAGTACGTTTTCATCACCAAGACCGAATCGGGCGGTAGATTCTGGAAGCTCTTGGTCAATCGCATGCTTTTCGCAGTTTGTTTCGCAAACGCGGTCATCGCGTTGGTTGTCGGAGCAAACGGTGTTGGGTCGATCGATTTCGACAATGTTCAAGTGAGGACTGGTAACATGCTCTACGCAATGATCCCATTGCCGTTCTTACTATTCGGCTTCAAGTGGTACTGCAGGCGAGCTTTCGACGACAAGCTGCTGTATTACTCAACGGTCCCCTATTCCGATGTCGAAGGCTCTCATTCCGTGGATCACCCGAAATCGAAGAAGAGCACCAAGGTCTCGTCCCGCTATGGTCATCCTGCGCTCTACAAGAAGCTGCTTACGCCAATGGTCCACGCAAAGTCTCAGCACCTCCTGAAAGAGGTATACGGGCACCGTTCAAATGCTGATCGTGACATCTTCGATGCACCTCACCGCCGTTCGACCGACCGTGCCATGCCATCCACACCAGGCTACGATCGATTCGGCGACTACTTCATGACCGAAATGGACACCCACCAGCCAGGCAAGCATGCGACTGGTGGAACGGAGATGCCGCACATGGAAGTGGTCACCGAGTCAGAGCTCGACTTTGAGAACTTCAAGAAGCGTGCGGAGTTCCGTGAGCAATTTGGAGGTGACGGGGAGCTATACGGCCGACCCGAGGACATGTCAAGGCCTGGCACTCCATCTACGTTCACAACGCTCACCGAAATGGGTCCGTATGGACGCCGGGACTCACCGTCAGGGTCGAGGGCGTCAAGTCGAACAAGACTAGGAGATAAGGAGGAGCTAGAACAGGGGACAACATACGCTAAGGGATACCAGAAGACGCCACGACCTGAGGAAGGCTTCGAAGAAGTTGGCATCGATGTCGACATTCCGGCGACGCCGTTCGATGCTGACGCCGTACTGCACGGTACGACTAGCCGCCAGCCGCTTGTCAGTGCGGACGAAAGGGATGGTGGCGTGGAATATTTCAACCGTGGACCTCAAGAAGAGGATACGAGTTATGAGCGCTTTAGACACGTTGGATGATACTTGGTAGGATAGACAAAACACTAGATCTAATCATAATGTTTGTATAACTATATGAATGGCTCCAAGATACAATGCAGTGTGATGTCAGTCTATTCTTCCGAGAAACTTGCAGCAACCGTTTTACAATTGCATCCTATCCCGATCCGCTTACCCTGTGGTGCTAAGCACTGAATCTGGATCCGATGGTATGTCACCAGTCACTTCGTCACCATCCCTCCCACGTGGACAACAAGACCGATGTGAGACCTAGTGGGTTTACTTCTCTGAGAAACTGAGAAAGGGAAAAGCCACCGGTTACAGTAATGCTGAGTACATGATTGGTACACGTGAGAAGCAACAGCCATCCAAACAATGAGCTTCGTCAGCACAAGATCCAGACCCACCAAAGTCATTGCAATCGGATCATCACGAGGCGAGCGCGCAAACAAGAAGACAAGATCCAGACAAAGAGCGTCTAAGCCCACGCCGTGGAACACAATAAGAGATTAGTAAGGCCGACACGCCAAGAGCGGGAAGGCAGCCCGAGGGGGACACGGGATGAGCAGGAACATTGGCGAGTGTACGACATAATACTCCGCCTCCGCCCACCCAAAGCTGGGCACACAAGTATACAAGACACCACGACGCTGCCTATGCGACAACAAGACCGACCAAGACCGTCGCATGAGAGGAGAAGGCGCCTCGCAAGCATAAGCCCGAATGCGACGGACCACGTGGAATCACTTGGCAGGGTTCTTGTGAGAAAGAAGTCGACAAAGCGCGACGTTCCGACGATAAGACCGATAGTCAGGTCATTTTGTACAGTACCTCGTCGACGAGACTGAATATAGTGCCAAGATCGGCATGGTGATGCTGGGCGTGGTGTTGCAAGCAGCAGCGCTATAGGGTTGGCTGGTCACTGGGTTTCCGCGCGGCTCGCCGTTACAGCTAAGGACAGGGAAGGGGGAGGCTTGCGTGCTTGGAATGCGGAGATTTCAAGGTTGCGAGTCGGACCGCGTCGTTTGGGTCAACGGCCGATTGTCGAGTGGGGTGAACGGCGGCGATCTTTGCTCTTTGCACGTGTACATGGTGGTGATCTTGGTAGTCGGGAAAGTAAGACGGTTAGTTGGGGTGTGTGGGAAGTGGTATGACTGTGATGGAATGATGATGGTGGTTGTGGCTACTGCTCAGGCTCACGTGGCGCGCAAGCTTACCGCGGCCGGCCACCTGCCGTATCCGTATCCGGTGCCATGGGCGAGCAATTCTGTTCACCATCAAGCAATATCACCTCCATACGCGCCATCATCACGGCTTGGCGTCCGCGTACGCCGTGTACTATATGTATCTTTGCCTGCCAAGCCCCTCAAGATATGCCTCACGACAGCATCTAGATGTTGGTTTTCGGCCTGGAGGCGCAACGAGAAACGCATTGGAGACTCGCCTCCCTTTCTTCATTGCCTCATTTCGAGTTAGCCACGCACTCACGATGACCCCACAGTTTCACAAGTGGACTGATCTCGCAAGTGTGAAGGAGCATGTGGGCGAACGCTTGATCGGTTTGATCACAACCTGATACAGTAGCAGCGGTGTGCGACCTATCGCATCGACGACGACTTTCGCTCTTGGTTCGGCCACTTGGAAACCATGGATAAAATACACCAGGCTGCGCATCCCTGTCGCACGTCGTAAAGCAGAGCCTCGAATATGCCTGGAGGGCTTCGCCAAGCAACGTGTCCAGAAAGCGCGCTTTCTGCAAGCGTTTCAGCTCCTTCGGGGTAATTTGCTACTCAGTACCATCATGTGGCGAAGCCAGGTCGACGGCTTTTCGGCTGCCTTGCTTGCAGTGCTTGGGGTTATTTTGGAGAAATCACACGATTCTTAGACTTGGCGCGCGAGAATGTGGAGAAAGTTCTTGGACGAAGGATTGGAGTAGGTGGTTATGTCGACTAATTATTTCAGGGTTTCTTGCGCAATTAGGACAACGGTGCATCAGCATCATTCGGCACTGTACCGATGAACCTTCTTTTGGGCACAGATCTCGTGGCTTTGCTATCTGTCATCTCAGAGCACGTCCAACTTACCCGTCAGCATAGGGTCCAACATGGACCTTGCTCGCTTCCGACAGGCAGGACGGCTGTCAACGTCTCAGCATACCAAGCAAATGTCACAAGTCTTGACCCCTGTTTAGCCCCTCAATATCGTTCTGGGCGACTCCTTAACCACATACTCGACTTGGCACCTACCTGTAATGGAAATTTCCCGCTCTTTCCTCGCATGTCTTGTATACACTGGCCAAGAAACGGCGTTCTGGAGGTCTCTTGACGTATGACTTGGTCTTCTTGGCCTGCGCGTCTAGTTTGCGGAGGATTTTCGTTGCAAGGTAGAGACATGCGACCGGCCGGAACGAGTTTGAGCGAGGAGCGTTTTTGTACAGCATTGCTCATGGATTGTAGGTATATCTTGTGCTTAGCTCTGCATCTCAAGCCTTCTAGTTGTCATTCTAGCCGCCTTTTCCGTTCTTCCATCTTGTTCGTTCTAATACGGTCCGTTTGTCCCGGCCGAACTCCTCCTTGTACCTACTTTCTCTTTGGCTCAGCCTCCAGGTGTTCGGGCTTATTCGGGTCTTGTCCTTCTCTTGCCTTTCTTGTAATACGACTAGGTTGATCCTGTCTTGCTCTTATACTCCACATTCGTTCGTGTTGCACGGTCGACATCAGCATCCGCTACCAAGGCATCTTGCGCGTACTCTTGTCTAATCTCTTGTACTGAGGCATACACGATCTTGTCTTTTTGCTTAAGAACGACCCGTCCCGCAGTGTGTTTTGGAAACATCAGCAGCAGCCTTTCACATTCCTTCAGTGTTCTTTTTACAGCACCCTTCACTCTTTACAGTCCAGTCCAGTACATCGCTCATCATGCTTTTCTCCGCACTCCTCCTTGCATCAACCGCATCCGCGACCTGCCTTCACGGCCTCTCCAAGTTCAAGCGCGCAGACACCGTTGAGGTTAACACCTTTGGTTATGGACCCATGAACGGACCCTTCAACTGGGCTTCGCTTGCTCCTGAGAACGAAGCATGCAAGTCTGGCATGAACCAGTCTCCCATCAACATTGGTATGTCTCTCTAGTTCTCAATTGCCCAAAGATCTTCTACTAATACCCTCACCAGATGCCACCATCACCGCCGCCTCAGGCCGCCCCGTCCTCGACATCCCCGACGCGGAAGTAATCTTCGAGAACCTCGGAACGACCATCGAAGTCGTCGTCAACGGCACAACCAGCTACGCGGGCACCAACTTCCGCCTCGTCCAATTCCACATGCACACCCCCTCGGAGCACCACATCAACGACGAATACTTCCCCTTGGAGATCCACATGGTGCACCAGGGTGTCGACGACGAAAGCCAACTCGCCGTCATCGCGCTCATGTTCGAGATCTCCTCCGGCGACTCCGCTTCCATGATCCAATCGCTGTCTTCCTCGCTCGCCGACATCGCCATGCCCGGCACCAAGACTACCATCTCCTCCGGCATCGACTTCACCGACGTTGTTGAGACACTCAAGACCTCTGATATCCAGACGTACAGCGGTTCCCTTACTACCCCTCCTTGCGCCGAGGGCGTCACTTTCCTCATCGTCAAGGACCCGCTTCCCGTCTCTGTTGAGGACTTCAACGCTATCAAGAAGATTGTCAAGTTCAACTCCCGTTTCATCCAGAACACCCTTGGTGGAGAGAACATCTTGGAGATTGGTGCTGCTGCTGGTAACACTTCGATGCCTCCTGCTCAGAACGCTACGCCTCGTGCCACCAACGTTGAGATCAATGCTGATCTGGGCCTTCTTGATGCTAAGGTATGTTCTTCCTTCTTAGCAATGCTTTTGTCAGATCACATATACTAATTCGTTGCTCAGGTCACCGTCGGTACTCCTATTCAGAGGCGTGTACGCAAGTACTAAATGTAATATTCCTTTCTCATTAGAAGATCTTGTTGCATGGTTGCGGAGTGAGTGGTGTTGTAGTGAGTTGTGGACAACTCAGATTTCATTTCGTCTTTGATCATTTCGCATTTACACAGAGAGTGGTGGGGTGATACCAGCTTTCCTTTTTCTTAGTCTACTAGATCATGATTTAGATAAGACTTTTTACAGCAATGTAACATTTTCTGCTGTAAATTCTTCCCTCTCGCCGATTTCTGCGTATTTGCTAAGCGTACTTTCTCTGATCAATCGAACGATATCCGTACAAATATTAGCAAAGATGTTATTGATATTGCTTTGTTGAATGTAGCGTGTAGTGATTGAATGCCGGGCGACCACGGTGAGCCCTGCAGCAAGAGTGAAACAGAGTCACCCCGGGGGAAAGTGAACACTTACCTAAACTTAACAATCTAGAAGGTCGCGTTGCGTCACAATCTTATTCATTTCAGTACTGTTCTAGACCCTAATGCACTTGTTCATGCTCTTCCTTGAATGAGATGTAAACATTCTAGTCTAGATTATTGGACGCGCGTTTCATTGCACGAGAAGTCAAGAAGACGGTATCGACGCATGCAAGGAAGAAGATGTTAAAATTGTAATCTGACTTTAAGCTATCCTGTTTTGCCAACTCCAGCAATGCAATGAACAAATCCAAAAGATCCCACTGTGCTCTGCCATGCGCAGATCCCACTCGCTGGGCAGTCTCGCGCAAACCCATACTACAGCTGCCTATCTTACACTGCAGACTACCGTCTACGTTCCTAATCGTAGCCGGGATCGCCACTAGGTGCCGGCGTCGCAGCATCCCAACCGCCAGGTGTGGGCGCCGCAATACCATATCCACCACGCGACGTGTCACCAGGAGTAGGCGCAGCGTAGTTGCCTGGAGTAGGAGCATCCATGGGCGGGCCACCAGGCGTAGGCGCAGAGTAAGCACCATAGCCACCAGGGGTAGGAGCAGCGTACGCGCCAGGTGTTGGGGCATTGTAAGCACCAGGCGTAGGAGCAGAGAGACCACCAGACTTTGAAGCGGTGTTTCCGGATGATCCACCCCAACCAGGTGTGCGGCCGCCAGAGTTGAAGCCACCGTACGAGGTACGGTTTCCATCATTGCCGCCGTAGGCTGTCGCTCCACCATATGATGTGGCGCCTCCGTATGCAGTTGCGCCGCCATATGCAGTTCGGGAGCCATCGCCGCCTCCATAAGCAGTCCGTGATCCGTCTCCTCCGCCATACGCAGTGCGTCCGCCATCTCCACCCCAACCAGGCGTTCGACCTCCAGCAGCGGCACCACCTCCCCAACCGGGTGTGCGACCACCACCGCCGCCTCCCCAGCCAGGCGTACGGCCACCACCACCAGAGTTGCCCCAGCCGGGTGTACGTCCGCCAGCTGCACCGCCGTAGCTTGTCTGACCACCAGAGAAGCCTCCACGTGAGCGGTTGGGGAACTTGCCTCCCATTTCGACACTGGCGCCAGTGATGGGATCTTTGATAGTCAGGAGCTCCTTCTTCACCGAGACTTGCTTGTTCTTTGTGTGCAACTCGATACGGGCTTCGTCGTTCATGGTATCTTTGACAATACCCAACAGGCCCTTGTAGGCACCCTTTCGGATGACAACCGTTTTGCCAATTAGCTTATCACGGCCAAAAGTGGCACGGGGTGGTGGCATAGCAGTCGCGTTGCCGTTCGGGCCTGCATTCAGGGCAGGGTTGATGCCACTAAGATCTGGGCCCTGTGCTTGAGCGCGACCACTCTTTGCTGCCATGGTAACAACGTTGTTGCTTCGAACCACGAAGATGCCCTGGTTCTCGACGAGCTCGCGGTTGCGTACGAAAAGTGTGCCTCTGTGGATGTATAGAACCTTGCCTTGACGGCCTTCGCCTCCATACTCCTTGACGTCGTCCTCGTGTCGGATTTCGGATCCGTCACGGTCGGTTGCTACAGCATGCTTGTTCCTTCCCACGATTTGCGAGACCTGTGTATGGAGGAGTGTGCGGACATCGCCTTGTTGATCGACAATTCGTAGGACTTCGCGATCGACACGAACGACGCAACCGATAGTTGAGGCACTGTAGGATGTTAGTTCGTTGTCAAGTCATTGGAAGGAGATAACTTACTCAATCTGTACAAAGTCGTAGAGGTCAAAGTTGGAGTCAGCGCCAACGTTTGCCGAATCAGCAGCGCGCTTCAGGTCTTTACTAAAGACCGTGATTTCCTGCTGAGTGGAGTCGCAAAGCAAGGTGATCTTATCATCCTTGATTCTAGTGACTAGACCAACTTCATCGACGTACTTGCTGCCACCGATAACCTTGACGTGGTCACCGTCGCGGAACAACTTGCGTAGCGTCTTGACGGGTGCGTCGATTCTTCTGCCGCGAAGATCACCTTCGCTGACACGGAGTGTCAGGATGTCGCCTATTACTGTGACAGTTGTACCGCGGATACCCTTCTGTTCACCGGTGTAGATCTCGACGTTGTCTCCTGCAGCGAAGGCGGATCCCGAGTCTGCGGCCTTCTGCGCGGCCTGGACAGCCAAAAGATCCATGGTCTCGGTACCATCCGCGTTTTGGATTGCGAAGAACTGCAATTCCTCCATCTTGGGGTTGACCTTTTCAGTGCTGACCCAGTTGACCTTGACTTCCTTGATCAGGAAGCCGTTCTGGTAATCCTCGCCCTTGTATGTGTATGCTCTTTGGTTGCCAGATCCGGTCATGCTGAGATGCTTCATGTGTCGCTTCTTCGCTTCGGCTTCGTTGAAAAGCTTCGCAGGTGGACGCTCGACTTGTCGACCGAAGAAGCCGCGCTTGCGCTTGTTGTCGGCAGCGGAGTTGATGTCCTCGTTCAGACCGTAGTCTAGACGTGGCACAAGTTGTACGACACAGTCAAGACCGTTAGTCGATACCTCAACTACCTTTGCGAGATCGCCCTTGTATGTGGGGGGACGCAGCATGCGCACGAATTTGCCAACCTCCAACGGCGCACGCTTCTTCTTACGCAGCAGGTCTGGACGCTCTTTTGGAGGAATCGAGAACTGACCAGAGCCCATGAAGACGTTCTGTATGCCCTCGATCAACTCCACCACAGCCTGCTTCGAGTCGGCCTCAACGTAGAGGAAACCAGACTGGGGTCCAGTAGGGCCTCGCTCAAAGGCCGAGTAGACCTGTACTGGCTGACCTGTGCGCATCTTCTCGTCGATACGCTTCTGAATAGACATTATGATCTCGCGCTCTTTTCCAGGACGGCACTTGCAACCCCAGATAGACGGATCGTCGACTGTGGGCAGGGCCAGGGGAACGGCACCGGCTCCACCGCGGCGAGTGCTCTGCATCTCACGCCGCCTGTACTTCTCGTCGAACTCCTTGGCGAGCTCCTCAACGTCCTTTTGTGCATTGACTTCGCGGCGCATGTCAAGTTCGCGGTGGTGGCGGTCGTCGAGATCGGCGCCCGTGGGCTCAAGGAGATCATCGGGGTGGACTTCATCAACACCCTCGTCGTCGCCCTCCTCCTCCTCTTCCTCATCCTCGTCGACTTCGGCTTCAACATCAATGAACATGTTGCGCCTGGCCTTCTTTCTTCGCTTGGCAGGTCGGGCCTAGGATAGTCAGTATTTAGACAGCGCGAATGAATGATGAGACCCACGACAACATCCTCGTCGTCCTCATCTTCTTCGTCATCTTCCTCGTCATCGTCATCGTCGAGATCTATGCCGCCGCCCTCTTCATCTTCGTCGTCATTGCCTGTCCTGTTTGGCGCATCGACTTCGTCCTCTTCGTCCTCGTCTACGGGCCTGCGCGAGGCCTTGGTGGTTGGCGCGACGTCATCCTCGTCGATTTCAGGCGCGGGGTTGAAGTCTTCTTCTTCCTCTTCGGGGTCGCTGCCGTAGGACGCCATGATTATCGATGCGTGTGGTGATAGAGGAGCGTGTCCTTGTTAAGAGCTGTCGCGAAGCTCGGGGGTGTGACCGCGGCAATCAAGCGGACGTGAGGGTGATGCTATCCGCTGATTAGTTTTGGACGGGCGGCGCGCAGTCGGAGAGGGAAAAGGAGGAAAGTAAGAGCAGACGGCGAGCGTCGAAGTTGACGGGTTATGTTTTAAACATGGGAACGTCGAACAAGGCCCATCCAAAGAAACCGCGCTAAGCCGGCGCGCCGCGAGGGTCCGTGCGCCTTTGATGGCCTCGACGCCACGCCTCCAGGGTGAAGCATGACCAACGCGTGGAGTTCACCTCTAAAGCAATACAGATTCAGTATAATTACGATGGTCTCTGGATGAAAGCTGCAAATTTACATGCTTTACACGCCCATCACGAGACACACCATCAAATAGGAGATCGCGACCTACTGCCCACAGAGGATCGCGTCAAGTCGACATCTTGAGTAGCAACATCTATATCTCAATATCATAACCTTGCCTTCTGCTCCGTCTTATCCTCTTCTACTTCGCATACCCTTATCATAGCCCTTCCCCAAGCTTTCCGCTCCTTCACATCCTCCAGCGCTCTACTAACCGCCTCCAACCCCCAGTAATCCTCCTTGTATATGACAGGCCGAATCTTACCATCCTCAACCAACTTCATGAACCCGTCCCACACATCTTGAGTCCGTTGCGGATCTCTTCTCCCATCTTCTCCAAACCGCTATCGTGAGTCAGCACACGAAACGAACACGCAAAATCCCAAGTGCAGGACGACCACGAAAGGCATACTTACATAACCAAACACCGCAACTCCCTTGAGTAGAATCTTATTAACCTTCAGATTCTCCATCTTTCCCCTTCTTGCCGCAAATCCCACAACGACCAACCTCCCCCGATACCTCAAACACCTAATCCCACTCTCCACAGCCCCAACCCCATCATACACGACATCCACCCCCTCCCCACCATTCCCCAACGCCTTAACCCTCGCTTCCCACCCCTCCTGTCTATAATTCACAACCTCATCTGCACCAACACTTCTCACAACCTCAGCCTTTTCCTCACTCCCCACAACAGCAATAACCCTCGCCCCAACCGCCTTGGCAATCTGCACAGCCATGACACCCAACCCGCCACTCGCACCAAGCACCAGCACCGTTTCACCGGCTTTGAGCTGCGCAACTGAAATCAAAGCACCGTAGCTTACTGCACCGCTTGCGCCAACGGCGCAGGCTTCAGCGTTCGTCCATTGCGAGGGGACGCGGCGGATGGAGGGTTCAGAGACGCATATTTGCTCTGCGTAGGCGCCTAGGCCGCCGCCGAAGACGCGGGTGCCGGGTGGGAAGGATGAGGAAGGGGGGCTGTGGGTAACGACGCCGGCGTATTCTGTACCTAGAACGAAGGGTGGTTGCACGTGTCTGCGGTTGTTTTGGTGCAGGCCCTGGGCGTAGAGGAGGTCGACGTGGGTTACGGCTGCATGGGTGATTTTTACGTGAATGTCTTGTGACGATTTTGAGGACGGATTTGAGATGGTGGTAGGTTTGAGGTCTGTCACGTTCTATAGATGGTCATGGTTAGGGAAGATGATGTAGGTACTTAGGTGGGTGGCTTACAGAGACAAATTTGTCGATGTGGATGGCCTTCATCGTTGCAGATCAACACATGGAACGTCAACTTCAATTTATCGGCGTATCCTTACACATTACAAGTTGAAGCATTGCAGTAAACAACGAGAATAGTACATGCACCATATGCATGCCGGGAGATCGACGCGTCTACGGGTGTGGGGTACAACGAGTTGCCGAGGTTTGACTGGATGCGCGACTCTGATGAAGCGGCAGCAACAGAAACGAAGATTGTGAGACAATGAGCAGTTGTGATTAGAGGGGATTATTCAGTGATCCGGTATTATACATGCACTCGATTCTCTTGCCTCGCTTGATACGCTAAAATCTGCCATGCGAGGTTGCCATCCACGAACAAATACAAATACAAAATAAGAAGCGCAGAAGCTCCCAGTGGAGCCCTCCCGCATCGCGAAACCATTTCCGCGTTTCTGTTTTTAGCCACGCATTCACGTACCCGGAGCTTGATCATCCACCTGCCCCAGCGCCATGGACGCCTCATCGCGGGCCTTCTGACGCCGCATGTGCCATTTCTCAACGTCCGACATAGGTTTCTTGGCCTCGAACGACTTCCGACCCTTTTGCGCCGCCATGTGAGCTTTCGTCCAGATAGCCGCTATAGCGATGAGGGTGACGAGACCCAAAGCGGTCCAGTATACAATGTGGAACTCCTTCAACAGGTGCTGTCCCCCCGTCGCCGCCGGCGCCTTCTGTTGTAGAAGCGTGCTCGGTTCGGGATGAGATGCCGCCGTCATGGGGATTTGCTGTGGTCTGATGACGGGTCCGAGAAGAAGGTTTGAGATCGGGGCTTGTCGACCGAGGATGCTGAGGAGCTCTGTCATGGATATGTTGAGGCCGCTGCTCAGTGCGTCGAGCACAAGCATCTTGTCGAGTTCAGGGTCCTGAGACATACTGCCGTCGCTGAGTAACTGCACCTGTTAGCGCGTGTTTGTAATGAGCTGTCATAAGCTTGCCTTATCAGGTGGTGTCTACGCAATCGATCATGCGTGAGCATACAGTTGTCAGGTTGGCTACTCGGGGAGACTAAACAGAGCTCTGAAAAGATACGACAAGGGAGGAGCCACCTCGGTGTCAGACCACTTGCTTGTCGTGACGGAAGGAACCAGCGCGATCGGTGAGATCGATTGTTAATGAATGGGGAAAGAGCTACCACATCGGCCATCCAGTACCAGACAACATGCTGGCATTGAGGACATTATTGTTCAACAAGCCTTCTGAGGGCAGATAGTCCATCAGATCTTCGAAGCCCAGACTGTCGATATCGAAATTCCACGTGGTCGGATCGGCGAATGTTGGTTGAACCTCAGAATCTAGAGGCAGCTGTTGAGTCGCACGGTCAGTGTCCGGCATGGGAATACCTGCCGTGTTGCCGGGAATATAGGGACAGGTTTGGGTGGTTGCTGTGTCCACTGATAGTGTGGACCTTTGGCTTGATCCATCTCTGAGCTTCTCATACTCTGCCATAAGCGACATGAGCAGACGCACGCCGTGCACTGCAACACTTGACGTGTGAAACAGTTGCAAGCACCTGATGGCTCGCGTGACATGCAGATGGCACTCTTGTGCCTCCGCGTCTGCTTCAGCACGATGAAAGAGCTCCAGAATGAGGCAAATACCTGCGGTGATGATGAAAGCTTGTTCAACCCACCACTGCGGCTCTTGCGCATCTCGAGTGGTGTACAAGCTGATGAGACTCTGCGCTGCGCTCATACAAGCCCACCGGCTGTATGTGTAGCGGACGTCCTTGAAGCTCTTGCTCAAGAAGTTTTGATGGACTGATGATACGTGGCAGAATTAGTATAGATCTTTGCACAATCTATGATGGTGAATACTCACTCATAATGATCTTATGATGCGTCGATGCGTGGTGCAGCCGCTTCGCCCAAACGACCCATTGTGGCCAACTGGGATCGTGCGGTACCCGAGGAAGAAGATATTTTGGCAGCTTCTCCGTACACAAAGTACGCATTTCGCCATCAAATCTGAGGATTGTGGCATATTTGATAGCGTCGTCTTTGTCCTCGAGTTCCACCATAGCGTTGTGAACGTCGAGAAGTAACGCAGCGCAGTCAAAGGTCCACTTGGCGACACCTACGATTGTTGGAATTTCTGTGTCGGCGACGGGCGTCATGGTTTCTTCGTCTAATTCGCGTGGCCTTGTGCTCGTGAAATGCCGCCATTGGAGTGTCAACGTGTAAGAGGCGGATGAAGTACAACACAGCCTAAAGAATAGATGAGTTAATTGTTCATGAATCGCCTGAATCGCGCTGTAGACGTACCACTCCTGACATACAGTCCCATACCAGACCCTGCGGCCAATTTCACGCTCGATAAATGCTTCTTTCTGTCTTGCGTCCAGTTCAGTTATCCTATCGTCGTCTGGATGGGGCCCAAGTCTGCTCGATCAGTTACGAGAGTCCGTATCTCAGGAATCTATGCCACCTACTTGTGCAAACCAAGCCCTTTCGCAATGACTACCCCCACACTACGGAGAGCGATCCATTGATTACTTGAGCCAGCTAGATGTTCATACGCGTGCATGATATGAATTGTCTGTACCGAGTGAATACTGTATTGCGATGTATAATTCCCAAGGTTCAGGCATGAGATCGATGCTCCGCCCCATACGCGTGCCAGCTGGACTTTGTCGTCAACCGAGAAGCCCCAGGACGTCGAAGCTATTTCTGAAGAGCCAATGATACTGGATGAAAGAATTGCGACTACAAGATTGGAATTAGTAACTTTAGTATCGACCGAGAAGATTGAGTCTGGTCACCGTAACCTTTGCATTGATGGCATATCAAGTAAGGTAGGCCTGCATCATTCGAAATGGAGGTAAACTTACACAAGAGGGCTACCCATGTCCAGTCAAGGTCTTGAAGAGCAAGCTCACACGACTGACCATACGCTTGAAGCAGCTTCTTTCGAAAGCTTGGCCCATGGTAGATGCCGCCGTGCCAGTACATCATGTACTGTTCGTAGTACTCCACGATAAGCATTAACTTTTCTCTCGGCGGCAGAATTGACTGCAGGTACTGTGTCTCCACTATCCTCGCTGCAGCCGAGTAGCAGCTCGCAATAGAGGTCGACCCGTTCGGTCTATCTCGTGGCGATTGTTTCGACCGGGCGTAAGAGAAGCTTTTGTCGAAACGGCTTTGATTGGCGTCTGCATCTTTCTCTTCCAATATAGCGCTAATCGTCATGTCGGGTAAACCGGTTCGCCAGACTGCTTCCTCATGCGGCTCGTTCCGACCCGATTGAGACCCTGCCGTTTGTGGATGGATTGGGGGTAGTGCGATCTGAGCATTTGCATCGGGAGACGGGCCAGATGTAGATGTGTCGCTTGAACCGGCTGCCGAAAGCTTCCGGGGATATTTGCGATGAACATTTGGGTTGTATCCGTTCACCCATTTGGTCGTGCAAAGATGACCTTCATTGTTCTGCACGCATCTTGTACAAGGTGCCTTTCGATCGCACTTCTGCCGTCTCTGAGAGCACCGCGTACAGGTTTGGCGCTGCTTGGGCATGATAGGCTGCTCAGTAATCTGTATGTGATAGGCCTATGCAGTCGTACAACACCCTTGGCTTCGTCTTTTGCTTGTTTGGTGGCACTTGTTTGTACGACTACTTAGGTACGAAGGAATGAGTCTCAAGGTCGATGGGCGGTTTTAAGCGAATACAGATTAAAGTGAGTAGCGCGCAATGCGTACAACGGCGGAAGGTCATGAAAGCTGATGTACGAGGCCATGTGCGAGTCGTACAAACCTTCGTACAACGAACAGCCCGTGCTTCCTCAGACTAGACGCTCAGACCACGCTTCAGTATGGGTAGGCTGATGATTAACGTTTGCCCAGAACATTGGACGCGTCGACATGGTTGATAATGCGTAGTGACAGAGTGTAGGAAGCTGCGACAACTGCTGGGTGTTGTCATGAATCGACGGTCTGTGCACTCAACCCACGGACTCAGTTCGGAGTTAAGGATTTCTCACGCATACCCGCGGAAAACGAAGTGAGTTTCGAAAGGCACGAGGGCATAACAAAAAGTCGTATCGTACATTGCTGCTTACGAGCTGTTGAATCTTTACACGTAACAATTTCCAAGATCGTCTGTATTTCTACTTAAAGTATTCTTCAAGATAACTACGCATTCGTAATGAAGCACATCCGTCATCCCGTAGTGTGGGCAAAGCTTGATTCTGATTACGCATGCAACTATACTAGTGCAAGCACCTTCCATCCTGCAATATACATTCTCGTCAGTATATACATGCTTGCTCCCGCCATCATCATGACACCAGAGAAGACGTTCAGCCCCCAGTACTTTCCATTGTTTTGGACGACGATAGCTCCTGCAATTGGATTACCGATCAAACCCGCAATTGAGATGCAGGCGAAGACAACACCAACACGGATCCCAATCTGTTCGACCTTGGAAATATAGGCGATCTGGGCAGGCAACAGTGACACGAAAGCACCGGAAGCGAATCCGTAGAGGCCGGCGAATGTAATGAATGCCGCGTTACTTGATGCGGGGATAGCCAGGGCAAGGACCAGAATGCCAGCTACGAGGCACCAGAGTGACTGCATATTAAACTTGCCAACCTTGTCCGCGAGGGCACCGGGAATGATGCGACCGAAGATACTAGCGGCGTTGAGAATAGCCAGAAGATATCCAGCCAAGGTAGTCGACATTCCAGCGGCCATCGCTTGAACTTCGATGAAGTTAATGGGTATAACTAACTCTGGGATTAGTGCGCGTCTCATCGGCAGCTCGTACAGGGGGGTAACCTACACAGTCCCATGAAGAACAAAAATGACGCAATCGTCAGCAAGACGAAGCGAATGTCCCCAAAAGGCTCCACAAATACCTTGAACTGAAAGGTTCTGGGTTGTGGTGGTAGGCGAGATTTGACGGTGAGGAAAGCGATAGCCATCATGCCCAGGATGAGGAAGCCAAATGTTCTCATTGTCCAGCCATAGCCGATTTCGGGGATGAGGTGTGTTGCCATGATAGGAAAGATGATGCCGCCTAGTCCACTGCCAGCTGCCATGACCCCGTATGCCAGGCCTCTCTTCTTCAGAAACCATGTAGGAATGGTGCTCGTTCCTGCCTGAAAGATACAGTTCAGACCTAGAGGGCTGCAGATTCCTTGGGCGAGGATAAATTGCCAGTACTCGGTGCATAGGCTGGTCATCATTAGACCAAGCACGTGGAACAAAGTACCGAACAATAATATGTACTTGGGGCCGTAGTTGTCGTAGAGGAAACCGACGATAGGTCCAGGCGCAAACATGACGAAGATTTCGAGGGAAGCGATCCAGGCGACGGTAGACGGCGAGTACGCGCTGAGCTGATTCCGCTGGTAGTAACTTTGGAACACTCCGACGCAGTTTAGCCATCCAAATGAGCAGAAGAGACAGCAAAAGCCTCCGAGGAGACACAGATAGGCGTCTCTTCCGCCATCAGGAAATTGACTAGGATGGAATGGGCTCACGACCGCTGTAGGCTCGGTCGTGTCGAGTTGCTTTTCGTCGACTGGTGCTGGCGGTTGTTCGACATCGGATTGGGGAAGTCGTGACTTTTCCTCGTGCAAAGACGCCACTGAGCTTGTAGTCTGCGACATGGTAGTAGAGGGTAGCACTAGGGGTGGGAAGTTGAGCGTGAAGGAGTTGGTAAGATGAAAGCTGGGCTAGGCCATGATTAAGTAGTCAACCATTGAGGTTGACATGGAGAAGCGTAACGGCGCTTCGCTCCTTACCACGGAATCCTTATGATCCGCACATTCGATATCAAGCTATTATTGGGGTAGGTTTGCATGTAGGCCTGCACGCCTGTTCGCGCTCGGCCTCGCCTTTGACGCAGACCGACGTGCCGAGCCAATGGCGAGATATCTCACAACAGTCGCATTACCACAACAGCGAAGGCAGCCGCGGAAAGGAGGTTAGAGACCCACATTCCAGACGATCAGTTCGGTCTTTCGAAGCGATTTGCTGGCGAATTCGGTGTTGAAAGGATCTCGCCCTTGCGCGCGCAGCGGACACGCGTAGGAGATGTCGGAGATGATGGCATCTCCGACCCGCGTCCGACATGGGACCATCAAACTGAAGATGCATCCTATATGTGCGTGCGGCCACCCAAACATGAATTCTCACGATGGGTACGTGTGGAACATCCTTCTGCGCTCAAATCAGCAATCGCTTCCATGCGTTGGCGCCCTGACAAGATGCGCATGGCATTGATGACGCATAGCTTGCGAGTGACTGCAGCTGTTGATCGACGAGTGTGAATATAGCAAGATAGCGAGTAAGCCACTTCTCGTGGTGTCTGTCGAGAGTCGTTGGGTCGAGGCAGCGATGGAGGTGAAATCTGGAGGTGCAGGACAGGTTCGCTTGATCGGGCAACGACGCACAGACTTGGTTCCTTCGCATTTTGCCTTCCGAATCAGTGTGGTCCTCACTAGCACTCTTGCTTGAACGCGCACAACGACCAACCCACGCCCAAGCCCCGACTACCCTGAATCCATCCCGATCATCTGCTGGGGAGCTTCATATAAACATATTCGGCCATCTACACCCGCGCATCGCCATCTCATCGCCCGCCTATTCCTGCATCTCCACCGGATTCCATCCCATTTCAGTGCACACGGCCCGGTACGCGCAACTAGCCCGAGGATAGCTTTTTACTATGCTAACGTCGACTTGCTGTCTTAGCATCTAGGCGCCTGTCCTCTGCTTCGCGTATCTCATCCCCCACCACACTCCGCGCAAACTCGACGCAATTCGCCCTCCATCCCGCCGCATAACCTCGCCGTCACCCGCACATTGAAAATGGCATCCACCGAGTCATCCGGCCCCGTCAACGGCAACTACGCGCCGCAGCAGTACGAGAACAGCTACTCCACCGGCGCCTCCAACTTCACACCCTCGCAGCAGCCCACGCCCAGCCAGCCCGCACAGCAAGCCGCCGCCTCAGAGATCCCCAAGGACGAGGTCGGCTGGTACTTTGTCGAGCAGTACTACACCACCCTGAGCAAGAGCCCGGACCGACTCTACGTAAGTCGCAACTGCGGGAAGGCTTTTCTTGGTGACCACGCGACTGACCCAATTTGCAGCTTTTCTACAACAAGCGCTCCCAGTATGTTTCCGGTGTCGAGGAGGACAAGGTCAACGTCTGCCTAGGCCAGAAGGTACGTGAAGCACGCTCAATTGCAGTCGATGCATGCTGACTCGTGTCTAGGCCATCAACGAGCGCATCAAGGAGCTTGAGTTCAAGGACACCAAGGTCCGCGTTACCAACGTCGACTCGCAGGGCTCCGATGCCAACATCGTCATCCAAGTCATCGGTGAGATCTCCAACCAAGGCCAGCCCCACAAGCGCTTCGTGCAGACCTTTGTCCTCGCCGAGCAGACCAACGGTTACTTCGTCCTCAACGACATCTTCCGCTACCTTGCCGACGAGCCCGAGGAGGACGAGGACCAGCAAGAGCAGGCCGCGCCCCCCAACGGTGTCACGGAGCCCGCTCCCACCGCTGCTGTCCCCGAGAATGCCGACCTCAACCAGAGCGACGAGATCGCGACCAGCGAGGAGGACCTGAACAAGGTGGACAACAAGCTACACCAGGCCGCGCAAGAGGAGCCGTCTGTCGAGGAGGTCGCGCCTGCTGCCCCGGCTCAACAGGTTCCAGAGGAGATTGAGCAGCCCGCTGCTGAGGAGGCACCTGCTGCTGTCGAGGAGAAGGCCGCAGAGCCAACCCCCGCCGCTGAGGAGACCGCCGAGCCCGAGAAGCCTGCCGCTGCCGCCCCGGCCTCCGCCCAAAAGGCTGCCCCCGTTGCCATGCCCTCTGGTCCCCCCAAGCCTGCCGCTCCCCGAACTTGGGCCAGCCTCGCCGCCTCTGCACACAAGGTCGCTACTCCCGTCGTCAACGCCCCCGCCGCTCAGCAAGCTCCTTCGCAGCCCAAGGCCGCTGCCGCCGCTCCTGCTCAAGCCGCTGCTGCTGCACCCAGCCAGACCTCAGCACCTGCTCGTGACCAATCCCCCGCGACAAGCCAGGGCGAGGCTGCTGGCTGGCAAACAGCCACTGGACACAAGAAGGAGCAGTCCCGCGCACAGAACGCAGGACCTGCCGCCGACCCCGACCAGAAGCGCGCTTACATCAAGAACGTCTACAGCCAAGTCGACGACGCTGCTCTGAAGACTGCCCTGACCAAGTACGGCGAGATCGAGTACCTTGACATCAGCCGTGGCAAGGTAAGTAAATGTGCTTCACCACATGGTACCTCAACTAACACCCTGCAGAACTGTGCTTTCGTCGACTTCAAGACACCCGCTGGCTTCCAAGCTGCCGTCGCAGCCAACCCCCACACGATCAACGGCATTGAGATCAAGGTCGAGGAACGCCGCCAGAACCCCGGCCAGTTCAACAGGGGAGGAGGATTCCCTCGTGGCGGTGCTCCTCGCGGCGGCCGTGGCGGTATGGGTGGTCAAGCACCCCGTGGCAACTTCCAACCTCGGGGACGCGGTGGCCCCATGCGTGGCGGTCGCGGCGGCGCTGCCCCTCAGGAATCATAGGAGGCTTCACGCGCAGCTTACTCCCTCGTTCTTTTTGCCATTCTTCTTCTATCTCTTGTTGAGTCGGTTTGACTCGATGGCCTCACGACTGACGGCTTTAGCCATGTACTGTACCGACCCCCTTTCAGCGCTTGTATAAAAGTCATTTCATTTCGAGGAAAAGTCTGGGCGTACGCGTTCGTCTTAGGGCTCTGAGCCCTTGCATAGCGAGTGGTTTCGTTTCTGCATGTTTCCTTTCTGTATCCGTGTATATCCGTTCAGCCGTTTTCGAACATATTCCCTTCTTCGCGGTCGCATTCTTCGTCAAGTAATGTTTAGGGAAGGCTATCTGGGGGTTCCTGGGTACGGGCTAGGGATGTCATAGCATCTGGTGTAATGGGTGTACAGCATAGCTTCGGCGACAACAGGATCGGACGGGGAAGGGCAGTCAAATCGTAAGATGATCTGGTACGAATACAATAAATGATACACGCTCCAACACGGTGTAGATGTACTAGAGTGAGGTTGTCTGGTGATTGCTGATAACGTCACCTGATGGGTATAGTGCGACGCGGGATGTGCCTAGTGCTGCGCTGACCGTTGATTCGAAGACGCGCAATCACCTGCATCAGCAACAGCCCATAAGCTTCAAGCCGCGCCAACCTGCGTTTCGTGCATACGAAAGACCCGTACCCTGATACCCTGATAATCTGGCTACTGCTCTTCCTCACACTCCACTTAATTAACGCTGGCGCATTATCACGAGGCTAAGGTCGCAGTAGATCGCGCGGGGCTAAGCGGGGCCGTCGCGCGACGTGCATCACATCACCACTCGGTATCTACTGAAGCTGACCAAGACTCTCGCTTTCAACCCGCGGTACTCACCTACTCTGCAACATATGCCCCAGGAGCTCTGCAAACATGCGACCGCTACCGGGCGGCGACGCCCTGCCTGCTACTGTTCGACCGCGATCTCGTAAATCAAGCGTCGATCATCCTACCGCCCCTTTGAGCAATGTCCCCACTACCTTCGTCATGAAGCGCGTCGGGGATTTGGAGCACACCATGGCTCCTCCTCACAGCGCGACTGCTCCAGCAAAGCAGCAGGACAGTACATTCGGAGTACAGAGTCTTGCAGATACTTTGGAGGCTGCTTTCGGCCCAGAAGGTACAGATCCAGAAAAGGCTAGTAAGACGCAGCATCATGGGGCAAAGAGTTCAAGATCCGAGTCGCATAGCTCTTCGACGGATTCGGTCACACCGCCAGACAAATCCAGGATAACTTCGGTACGGAAACTGAGGAGGAACTACACTAAAAATGACACGATTACTCACTTTAAACTTCCCGCCGCGAGCGTCGACATTCCTTCCCCACTCCCCACGTCCGCTATGGGGAGCACACCGAGGTCGGCTTCGATAACATCGCTCAAGCTGTCCGACGAGGAGTTTGCCATGGACGATGCTGCGAGCCAGGCCGTTGTCTCAAGTGGAGAGGAGGAAGAGCAGGTAGAGATGCAGCAGGACATGGCGAGCTTTCCACAGCTGGTCATGCCTGAGATGCAGATGCCAACCAGGAGGCCATTCACAACCAGAGGCAAGGCTATGGGAAAGCTGAGAGTCATGGTGGCGGGCGAGACAGGTGCGTCATAGTCGCGACATGCGATATCATTTCGGTAGAAAGCGCTATACTGACAAGCACTATGCAGGTGTCGGCAAATCGTCCCTCATTCGATCCATCGTTCAGGCCTGCGAAGACATCGTACACGTAGATCCTCTATCGCCCTCCCAGCCGAGCGCGCCTTCACGCCCGACGAAGTCGAAATCCCGTACAAAGAAAGCCGAGCATGCGGTCACAACCCGGGTGACTGAGATACATGCGAGCACGAAGCCTTACCCTCATTGGTGGACTGATACCGAAGAGAGCGGCATTCTGCGGAGAAGAAAGAGCAGTATGGATACTGTCTTGGAGAGAAACATATGTTTCGTAGACACTCCTGGGTACTCACAAGGCTCTGCGGAGAAGGATATGAGCATGGTGATAGACTATGTCGAGTCGCTGTTATACCAGACCTCATCAGTAACAACATTAGAAGACAATGATGTGCTTGGGGTCGTCAGTGGTAGTGGGGGCGTCCTAGTGGACGTCGTCATATACTTGCTCCCACCAAGTAAGCCAAACCATCGTTCGTACTGTCATTCTTACTGACTTCATCCAGATCGAGACATCACGAAAGATGTTGAGTACATGCAACGGCTATCGCACTTTACCAACGTCGTGCCTGTCATTGCCAAATCGGACACACTTTCGGCACAAGAAGTGGTAGCTCTAAAGACGTCCATACTCGCACGGCTGCAGACCACTGCTCTTAGACCGTTCTTCTTTGGAAAGGCTATGGACGATGCTTTACTCGCCGTACAGGGCCTTCCGGTCGCTAGGACTTCGGGATCAGGAGCGCCAAGTGAGGCAGCTGAATACCCCTTCACTACACCAACCTATCCTTACGCCGTCTCTTCGACGTCTGGTCCGGACCACGATAACATGGATGCGTCCTTGCTCATGTCGCCCGACTACGTGCAGCCTCTTCTTCCCTCTGAACTCGCTACCCTAGTCAACCAAGTATTCGACCCTGACTCCATTGCGTGGCTTCGACATTCGGCAGCAAAGAAGTTCTTAGCATGGCGACGCAGGATAAGGCTACCAGGCGACTCTGTAATGCTGCAAAGTCTAGCTCAACCACGCAGTCCGACCACGGCTTCAGTCGGACTGAACGGAGCCAACCTAAATTGTAAGACCGTCTCCCCGCCACATTGTGCAAGCTAACCTCTCTATCAGCATCTGCAGCATCCTCAGTATTCTCCGCTGCATCGCCATCGGGTGTCCTGGTACCCGGATCAGGATCACCATTCTACCCATCGAACCTACAATCCCCTCTCCTCGCCTCTTCTCCCTCCCTAGCCAACTCCGAGTCCCTCGAGCCCCTAGGCAACTTTTCACTAGCAAGATACAACAACACCGCGCAAGGCGAGCAGCGCCTCAGCGAAGTACGCATAGCAAGATGGGCAACAGATCTGCAGCGCAGCCGACGAAACGAAAGAGAACGATTCGAAGAACTCCAGAGCAACGACAGGGCTAAATGGCTGCTCGAGCGCGTCGGCGAGGAGGTATCGAAGGGCATGATCGTCGCATCGCCTGGCGAGTTACCGAGAGCTGAATGGGCGGTAGTCAGACGCAACAGCGACGAGAAGAAGACTGTTAAGGTCAGTCAACGCTATGCCAAAGCTGTTGGGCTGGACTCGCGAGATCCGCTTGGCCTGTGCAATTTCGGCGACGAATTAAGGCGACAGAGCTTCGTTCTCGTGAAGGTGCTAGGCGGCATGAGCGTGTTGGGTGCTGTCGTCGTGGCTGTCGTTAGGGCGTGCGGCATTGAGACTGGGCTGCCTCAGCTCGGCTGGTGGGAGTGGATTACCAACTCGGAGTGATTGGCCTTTGTTGCTCGCTGCACGTATGTCTCTCCATGAGCTTTATAACATGTATGATGTGATACCTTATAGACACTCTTCTACATTGTAGCTTGACGGGACATCTCGAGTCTAGGGAATAGAATCTTGCTCTACAAGGAATGTGTACTCGAGTTTGATATCGGTGACATTGTCGCAGCGATGGTAGAGTGTGTTATCAATACGCCGGCTTGATCATGTGGGTCATGATGTGACGCTTCACTATTGCAATTGGGGATGCGTACACTTAGCTCAGAAGTATAAATTGGGTCATTCGCTACGGGTTGGGTAGATTGGTCGGGGATAGCATGCCACACTCCAGACTGACACGGGCTGCTAATAGTTCATCATAGAACGGAGTGCCTTAATTCTATCCGTCGACTAAGCGAAGACATCTTCTTGGGTAACGTGGCAAGGCATGGCGGATCAGCTAGTGTTGGGTGTGTAATCAATACTTCTAGAGAGCGTTGGGGGTGACGCCTGTCGAATTCATTGACTGGCGGCGTCTCAGTGAAGAAGCAAGTGTGGGTGCTGAGTAGCGGCACGAATTTGTACAGCATGCACGTTGTACCAAGTAGACGATGTGCATCAACTATCCAACGCCCAGTAGAGCTCCGTGGTCTAGTAAGCATGAATGGTCCGTGAGCCCTTAATGGGCTGGCGCTTCGGCGAGTGCAAATCAGACCTGGCTCGTTGCTAGAATGCCTATCGAGGTGTGCAGATGCACCTGGACCGTTGGGACTCGGTCATATCATCTCCATCCAATAGCCACACATTTTGCCCTTTCTTGGATAATGTAAGTTGATCTGGTGCCCCCCGCTCGATCGCAGCGTGCCTTCGATACTGCAGCTCCGCCACCGGATGGGTGTGAAGGAAGTATGGAACGGGGCGCTGGTCTGCAGTGTATCGTGCCGGAAAGAGAAAGAGCTATTCATTAGATACATGACGTGATATCATACGTGTATTTGTTGAGTGCTGTGGCGGGGAGCGAGAGACGGAGATGGGCACTGCGTAGTGCTTTGCCATCCGGATTCTGCGTAGGGGGTGTATGGAACCCTGTCAGTATAAGCATACTACCGCCTATCGCGTCCCGCTAGTAAGGTCATGACATTTTCCGCTTGTCACGATTATTGGGGCTGGATCGTGGGAATTGATCTGAGCTCCCGCGAAAGGGTGTGATAGGCCAAATGAGGGTGTTGGGACGCAGATGTGAGTCTGACGGGGGCATGGGCCTTTGATGCAATTCGAGCGTCTGGGTGTGCTATGGGACTCAGAGATCTCCTGTGCGCGGATCGGAGATGGTTGTTCTGCGGCGTTCACTCACGTTTGTCTCCACGTGGTCTATTTTGACCTGCACATCCACGAGATTAAGTTGCAGCAAACTTTATACACATTGCAGAGGGCATTAGCAGGCATTTTATCCGGTCGTGTTATATTTGGGGGTGGCTGTTCTATTGTTCTTGTATTAGGGTTGAGAGCTGGTCATGTTTGGGCTCAGATATGCGGCATCTCAACACTTCAAGAGAAGTGACCGCAACGTGACGGCTCTTCAAGTTTTCAAGCTATGCGTTGAATGACTTGTCGTCTGAATCTTACATTGCTGATCAGTCACGTCACCTTAGCATGAATCTGAATGTCATCACTAGCAGAGTACATACAGTATTGGGTACCTAGGTAAGAGCAGCCCCACTCACCAAAATCGACACCTCACGCAGAGCCCCTTCGCAGTGTATTATGGAACGTCCTATCCATCAACTCTTGGTTACAGTAATTGATCAATGAGATTATGAGCACAGCATCACATTGTGTGTGCTAACCGCTGCCGTTGAGCATTCGGCACTGAAAAGTGCTGTCTTGGACATGCCGAGCGATGATTGCCTTCTAGATGGTGATCATGACGCTGACGTGGCGAAATCTTCATTATTGCCGTCGCCATACTGTAGTTGAGTATATGGAACGGTTCCTAGTACAATGAACACAAATACTGCCTACGATATAGGACACAATGTCGAGCCAGAGCCCTGTTGAACGTCAAGGTTATATTCATCCGCCGCACATTGTTAAGAGCAATGCATAGGCGGTGCAACACGAGATACTAACAGCGATCATTATGGTGGGTGCTATGATACCGGTGGTAGTAGTCGCAGACAGTATCTGTACGGATGCTCGTAACCGCAAATCCTTCAGTGGCTCGGTAACAGGGATTCATGACCCTCCTGCCTATCCAAGGAAGCCTGATTTCATGTAGCGCCATATTCTTGCAGTAAGCTGAACTATTTGGAATCACTACACCGTCAAAGTAATCACAGTCCCTAGGTTCCACGTGATGCGGCTCCGCCCATCCAGTGAAGCTCGATTGCCAGGGGTCGGCGGCAGATGATGACGCCAGCGGGCCGCGGGAATCTATCCGTAAAAGCAAGACCCACGGAGGTGGGTTTGACTTCGTGTCAGCTTCACAGTAGCGCGTGTTTTCAGTTGCTCGATGTCAGAAGGTTGTGGAAGGACGCACGCATCGTGGTGTATGCCAAGGATGGAAACCCGACAGCATGGCAAGGTGCGCCATCTTGGGGATTTGGCTTAAAAGCCGCGTAAGATATTGGTGTGGATGACCCAAAAGTAGGAACTAGACGCTGGAAAAATGAGGCCAGTACAGGGAGCACACCGATCGTGTGGTGTAAGAAGGCAACCGAGTGATGGAAGACAAGGAAGAGTGCCGAAATAATGCAACACAAACATTTCGGCTGAATGCCTAGGTATGGCGCTTGTCTGAATATTTCGTAATGCCGTCATGCCGTGAAGGCACATGAACCCGATTGTGATAGGCTCGCAAAACCCAAGGGACGAGACAAGCGCATGGCGACTATGGGTACTCGTAAACGGTGGAGCTCTCCCACGAAGTGCGCCGTGATGCAGGGCCCCCGAGATGCACCATGACGGAGATGTGATGGTGTCACCATGGCGTTGGGTTATGGCCTGATTCTTGCCGCTGCATCATGTGTCCTGCCGGGTGTGCTTAGAACAGCGGCCCCCACGAATACTGGGATTGGCCGGCAGATGAACCCGCATGGCGCGATTGCCGATATCTCGAGTTGCTGCCATATTCGTATACAAGCGTTGTACCAGATCTCCACAACTTACAACTCTGTGCTGCATCGATCCTGCGCTCGTTTGTCTGGCGTTTGACTTGCGACAAAAGCCCACCTGGCCGGCCTGCAAATATACTATAATGCGAAGCCGCCGGTTTCACATGTCGACCGTACAGTATCTCTGGTCTCCACCAGTTTCGACACTGCATGGCGGCTGCAGGGTTCTTATTGCGAAGCACTGTGCTTCCGTTCTTCCGCCTCTTCCCAGACGCATCTAGCGCACATACAATCTCCGCCAAGTGCTCCAGAAGCCCATTCCCGTCTCTCCTTCACCGGCAGACGTACGTCGCAGTAGTGGCCAAACACCTCTTCATCTCTCTTGAGACCAGGCCCCTTGTTCGGGTCTCTACCCTTCCAATCAACCAACTCTTCGCGGGTCCAAAAGCGCATCGACCCACGCCATTCCCAGGCGACATTAGGATCACAGCTATGATTCGCGAGACACCACATAGGATGAACAGCGCTAATCTCAGGCCTTCCGTCGAGCCCCTGCTGCGCAGACGCTGTTCCGCGGAACTTCGCATACAGAGTGTTGAAGACCCAGGTATCATAGCGGTGACTTTGGGTGAAAATGTTGATGTCCATCTTTTCTAGAACATGCAACGGCATGAGTATGTTGCTCTTGAACGAGAAGGGAAGCGTTTGCGGTACGTGTGCAAAAGCATCGCTCAGGCGACCCGAAGCATCCGCTTGCCACACGGTCTCGAGATCTTTGCCATGATAGTCACCCCAAATGTATCGCACTTCCTTCAACTCCAAAGGATGGAGATCCAGGGTCTCCGCTAACGCTAGTGCGCGGACAAGGAGAAGGGTATAGAGATAGTCTGCCGCCTCACGTGCGGGTACCTTGCCCTGGTCGACGCTGACACCACATAGCGCTGGATGATACTGGTCTTGAGCTAGGTCGTGGCACTCTTCGCTGCAGAAGAATACTTCTTCACATTCTTCGCAGGATATCACTGTATCGTCTCCATTCGAAAGTGGTATAACGCAAGCATCGCAATACGACTCATGAAGCCTTGATATAGCGGTAAGTAAAGACTTTTCCTCCAAAATGGTCTCGCCAGGTGTTATTTCGTCTTTAGCAAATAAGCCCAGTTGCTTCGTATAGTTTGTTCCCGGGTTCGTTCCGTCAGTTGTCGAAGTAGTACTGAGAATAGGCAACTCAGAGACTCTGACCTCCAGTTTTGGTGCTATATCCGCGAGCTCCTCATTAAGGAAGTCGAGGCACTCTGCAGAGAAGCGGTCCGGCTCATGATGGTTCCAAGGATACTGTTCGCGGCGGACGAAGCCCTTGTCTGGATAGTCTTCTACATCGACGTTCTCAGCAGACTCCCCTTGATGCTCGAAGTAAGTCCGCAAATGGTTCCACAAAGACTTCTCGTAGTCCTTGAAGACCGGATCTTCCGGAAAGGCTTTTCTTGCGCGGGATATATAGTCAGATGCACTGCGTAGACAACCACAGTCCAATAAGCAGCTGATTAGTATATCATGACTGTGAAGATTAGCTTCCCACTCGAAAGTTCATCCAACATAGGACAATTTACGTACGCGCTCCTAGACCAGCGCGTTTGCGCCCATGTCAAAATGTCATCATCTACTAAAGACGAATTCTTCTCCTCATCCTTCATGCCCAATTCTGTCATACGTTCAGAGATAACGTCTGTTCGTGCTGCCTCCAAGGCTTCGTCGTGGTATTCGCCTTCATCGAGTACTTCATCCACTAGGATGAGGGCTTTGTATGCATCACCCGCAGCGAGATCTGGATAACCAAGTGCTTGGTACGCTTTTGAAAGCCGTAGACGGCTTGATATACTGTACGGCTCTTCGACCGTAGCCTGCTGAGCCGACACGACTTCCTTTGTTAGTCTCTCACGAAGGGTAGTATTTTTCTATGAAAGTCAGACTTGTCGTGGAATTTCGTTCATTAGCACTTGCCTCCATGTTTCTTGTCAAATCAATTAGTGCTTTCTTGATGTATGTCTGATGCCCGTCGAGACTTCGGAAACTTCTGCACGATCGTGTGGGGGCGGAATTAGCGGCTGCGCTATCGATAAGGCTAGCTCGACCTTCATCAACACACAACCATACGCCACAATGTCTACGTGTGACATATCAGCTTCGCCATCAAGCGCGATCACTTGAAACGAGCCGTAGTTGAGCAAGAAATCTGACGATATGCTTCCGTCTGCAGCAGAACTTGTCGCGCGGTATCTGAGAGCGAATGGGTACACTCAGGTTACGTCATCACTACCCAGGTGATGTGAAGGTGCTAACACTGACCTAGACCTTGAACAGCTTTGTTCAGGAAGCAGACCTGCCTTCGGATACGGGCTCAGCTGCTGATAACCCGATCACTATCGAGTCTATCTTGCAAGAGAAGAAGACATTCGACCTAAGCCTCAACTTTGAGAAGCTTGGGGTTGATGATGCAAAGCAAGCATGGACCGTTCAGGCGCCTGCTAAGCCGAAAGTTGTAGAGTCTTTACCGAGTCGATCCAACATACTCAGCATTTCCGTTCTCGACCTGTTACTACCATCAACGACAGCAACACAACAGTATATTGCCGTCACCACGGCTGATCGTCAATTACACCTGATGGATCCGAGCACATCGTCGCTTGACTGCATCCAGACGATTTCCAGCTTCCAGGGTTCTCCAACTCTAGACATTGTTCCGGTAGACTCCAGACGACTGCTGATAGCTTCGATGTCTGGCAAGCTGACGCTGTTCGATGCAGCCGCCAACGCCATACTGGAAGAACGTAAAGATCACTCCAAGTATGTTGTCAAAATCTCCACCTGGTCTTCCGAAGGCGGTTCCATGCTAGTTGCCAGCGCGGGATGGGATGCCAAAGTAGTCCTATACCAGCTTGATCCCAATGTCGACCAGCCGCGACTAGGAGACCCAATAGCAACCTTGTCGTTACCCAGCATTCCAGAGTCGACCTTATTCGTCACCTTACCTGGAGACGGAACACCAGTCCTGGTAGTTGCTCGAAGAGACTCGACCTTTCTGCATTTCTACGCTGTACCTAGCCCAGAGTCACCGACGTTCACCCTGATCGGCAAGCAGAATCTTGCTCCGCATTCCAATGCCTGGGTTGCATTCACGCCATCCGATATCCAGATCTGCCCTACAAATCCACATCTTGTGGCGATCGCGACATCCAGCACGCCGCATATGAAGCTATTGGTCGCGAAGCTTCTGCTTCCTCCTACTCGTTCTTCAGTGACGGATACAGGTACTAGTCTAGACTCGGATGGACCCGTCACACAAGCGTCGCAAGCCCGGGCTGAGCTGCTCGTTGCAGATAAAGAAGAAGCGGCTATATTAGTCAATGTCTCCACTCTTGCGCCACAAACCGCTTACTCCACGCCGCGTCTCGTCTGGCGACCTGATGGCTCTGGTGTGTACGTGAGCTCTGATGATGGTGTGGTTCGTGGCATTGAAACCAAGAGTGGAAAGTTGATCTCATCATTGGAGGCACACGAGCCTGGGTCAAAGCTACGATGTCTCTGGGCGGGCCAGATGGTAGGGCCTGGTTCCCCTGGTTCAGACGACAAAGGGAAGGCCGAGTTCTTGATAAGTGGGGGGTTCGATCAAAAGCTTATCGTCTGGAGTTCGTCTTGATCCTTCCATATGCAATGCCATCTCGATGGAGGCTATATAGCATACTCAGGGGCATGCATACGTACTTCATGGCTTTCTAGAGTAAGAATGGCAACGTGCAGCTCGTTCCTGGTGCTAATCCTTCGTTGGGAAGGATGTTGCTGACTCGACTAGATTTGACCCACAGTTGGCGCTTTATTGTCCCCAAACGATGCAACAGTTATGCCCTAAAGGACGTTAATCCTAGGTGATACCACTTACCCGTTCCTTTACTATACTTTATCCAGCAACGGCTATCTAGCATGTAAGTAGCCATAGCTGCGGCAACGTCCGCGGCGTGCCGCAACGCCTCTATCACTAAATGCATGCAAAGACCGATCATAGTCGACAGCAGCAGGACTTGCAGGATTACTGGGTCTTTAACATGCCTCATTTACTGAATGAAGTATGGTACTAATTCTTTTTGATCGGCAAAGGCAGTATGCGACACCCCACGTCGATCCGATTCCTCAGCAGCTGCCTCACGAATCTCGTAGCGACGCAACCAGGAAATGCAATAGGTACGGTTGCATGTTCCAAGATGAAGTTGATGACGCTATCAGCAAGCCAGTGGCGGCTTTTACGCGGCACCTAGCGCCGTTAACGGGATGGCGGTGCCATGCACCCTTGCACCTTAAGGACCGCGATCTCGCTAGCTTGAGATCTGGTGGAAACGAGATTAGACGCCGCATCAACGCCATGGCTTGAGCTTCAAGGATCAATCTCTTGCTCCAGATCTGACTGCATACCGGGACGGGGAGGCTTCCTATAGGTAGTTCGCCGACTATCACAAGGATATCCGATCCCTACTCTTACGATGCCGGAACGGGAGATCATGGCTGATGGTAGTTTAAAAGCAGAAGAACGGATCTCGTCCTACGCGATCTAAATCTCAAGTTCGATCGTTCTCATCCCAACTCCCATCTTCGATTTGCTATTGAATGAGCCCTGATCAATCATATTCTAGTTCATTTACATATTGACGTGTCCTTGGAGGTGGATATCTCCAGATACAGTCGCGACACCCACATTTCAACAATGTCCTACACAGATTCTCAGAAGTACGGAGATGAAGACTTTCTTCTTGTCGTCTCTGGGACAACACGTTATGCTCCCTACTTGACTGGCTGGCAAGAATTCAAGGACCACCTTCGCAAGGTGGTCAAAGAGCAGCCGGGATGGGCTGATGTATATTCCAGCCAAGGTCAACGACGAGGGGAGATGCAGGGGTGGTGTCGTCTCAAGGACAGGGAGGATGCCGATGCAGTATACAGTGCGTACCGAAGTCGCTAAACTTGGGTAACACGACGCTAACTCCGTTCGTAGAAGTCTACTACCGTTCAAAGGGCATGCTGGTGCATGTGTGGGAAACGAGTCGCAAGGGTGACGGTTACCGATTAATGCGTTGCAACTGCTCCACATTGTTCCCTGAAGTGCCCGAAGGAGGCCATTCCACTGGGCGTTGTGGCATCGACATCGGAAGAGTAAACCAACTTGGCGGCGCCCGCGCGAGCACGACAGCAGCATCTGGGCCATACATGACAACACAGGCCAGGTACCCGTACGCAATGTACCCGCAGATGCAAACATATCCCCCCCAGCAAGTCGCATATACCCATGCCCCAGTTTACCCAGCTTATGCGTTGCCGCAACCACCTGTATACTCGACTAGCACGAACGGAATGCCAGTCAATGTCCGGGGTGGAGCAGTCTTGACTGAAGCGCGCGGCATCTTCGTTCGTAACCTCAGCTACAAATGCACATCCGACGACCTCAATGCGCTGCTGTTGCAAACCGTCGGATACGCCATCGAAATCCAACTCATGAGAGATAGCCGCACCGGCGTGTTCAAAGGCGTGGCAACCGCCAAGTTTGCCTCGAAGGAGTTGGCGCAACACGCGGCAAACACGCTGAATGGGCGCGAGCACATGGGTATGGTGCTGCACGTGCGCATGGATACTGATACCACGGTGGTTGGACGAACTGAACCCATGGTTGTGAACGGGTCGTACAGAGTACGTTGATGAAGTCAATATGACGAATCAATTTCTAATATAGTGTAGCATTGATAGATATGAAATGGAACATGACTTCAGTTTTGCGACACAAATAGTCTCTTCGGAGGTCATCCGCGCTTCTTCATGCCACGAGGAGCAGCCGTGTGGCGTAGTGATATGATGCTGTCACAACAGCTTTGCACGTGAGGGCGTTGTTGTGGAGTGTCCCACTGTTCGGTTTTGTTATAGGGAACGGGTGATCGAAGTGAGGATGACAGCGGAGCAATGTCCATTATCGGTTGTATCGCCTCAAGTACTGTGTACCAAGACAGCCTTGAGCCCCGCGGCGCAGGGTTACAGGGGCGCTAGATCTTTCGGTTTCAGATCCTAATGCCGTCGTACATATTCCCGCAAACGTAAACTGGACCAAGCTCGAGCGTTGGCTAGGGCTATACCAGCCGCAAATAAGCAACATGACGCCGTCCTACTTCAGACAAGTTTAATCGGCTCGTTGTCCATATGGGTTGGTTGAATTCTAGAAGATCTGTGTAAGGGAAATCACATGTGAAGCCACTCTTCTTAGAGTGAACACCCGCAGTGATCTCGTGTATTGAAGGCTGACGTCCAAGTAATGTTGACCAGGTGTCCGGGTCTCCGGGTCGCCTAATCTTATCTGTCATAAAGCAGGCTGAACGTTAGATCGTCTTCGTTACGAGCCACGGCGGGGCGGACTTCCTCGGTGCCCAACGTGCGATACGGGGGTTCTGGAAGAATTAATGAAGATCCAGTAGGTATAGCACTGCCGCTTTTACCTTCGATTTTAACTTCCTCCTTGAGCATGGTCGATGCCGAGAAATCTCGGCGATGCGCCCTCAGCCTGGTAGCTGTGAGGTCAACGATATTGCCCAGCGAAATGTCGTATGATTATTGATGTATTACATGCATTCATGTAGGTCATGTTCGTGTGATACCCATGATGACGCGCTTGCTAGGGTCGTTGCACAGCTATAGAAGGGTAATGAGACGTCAACAACCCCACGCGATACAAGGATACTCGCTAGCTCATTTCAGCGGCTGGGATAGAGGAAGAAGAACCCAAGAGATCTCGAAACGAAGACTAACGCACGACGCGCCGCGGGGATCGTGGTCAGCGACCCGTTCCGCACCGACGCTATAGCGGTGTGATATCACGCTACATGGATAATGAGTAGTAGGGGTGCAGGAGTGATGCAGGATCTTGGGTTTCACGGCGTCGCGCCACCCACGCGTCTCGTGTACGGCAGAACACGAGCGTTAGGATGGCTAAGCGGCATCATCTAGATCCGAAGCGATGATGAATGAGAACATCATGCTCTGCTACCGGCTGTCGTAACCCAAGAGGCTAAGATCCAGGGGCTGTAAATGTGGAGCCGCGATCGAGGGGCTCTTGTGGCAGGAAGCAGGCTCCCAATGGGAGACGATCTAAACGCTTCACTTTCGCATATGCTTTTTGCTTTTAGTAAGCCCTACTGAGTGTGAGGACTTGTTAGAGATGCAAGCGCGATCGGGAGGCATCAGCGTCCCACCTTCATGATAGTATCAGCAAACCATCACACAACGACATCGCTGACGTTCACTCCGTCGTTGATACGAGCCAGGATATAGGGCCGATTGCGGGCCGTCATCGGTATGGCACCTAGGTACCGAAACCAAAACCTGCCTGTGCAGCAGCTGGGAAGCAAGCCACCGGTTCCTTCCGTCACGGCTTGTCGAGCGAAGCAGCAAAACTAGCACACTCTACCGAATTTGAGGGTTCAAAGTCGAACTAGAGAGCTACGATATCAGCTTCCATCCCATTCACAATGATCGGAGATGGTGACCGCCGAGCCGTATTGATGAAATGCTCATAGAGATGTCGAAAAAGTTTCTTCAAATGGGTTCTTTGAGTTTCGAAAGACATCATAGGCTCATCCCCTCCATGTGCTAAACTCTCCAACCCTTCTTCTGCGACTTCACAGTAACAACCCAAAGCACCACCAACCAACCCGTCCCCACCATCAAACAAGCGCCACTCCAAACCTGCACCCCAATGAAATTGGTGCGCCCGTCCGTCTTCTTGAGTAGAGCCCCGGCAATCGGCGCACCGATAAGCGTAGCAATACTAGACACACTCCAACTCATGCCTAGCCTGGTCCCCAACCGCGAAAGATCGGGTGTGATGTTTGCGAAAGCCGCAGATGGTACAGTGACTAGAGCCGCAGAGAAGAAACCTAAGTTCATAGTTAGTCCAATGTGACACATGAGGCAATACTAGCAACGTACCCCACAGTATACTGAAAGCAATAAAGCTCTTCTCAGTCTCTATACTAATCCAAACCAGTGCCAACAACCCACTCGCAAACGCACAAAGTCCCCATGTGACGATAGCCCCAACCCAATGCGCTGCGACGCCACTGACCAGTCTCCCGAAGAAACTGCCCGCTATAGCCAACACAAGCATGTACAGCGCCGTGCTCTCCGAGCTGCCAAGACGTTCGCGCGCATACGTCGGGATATAGAAGTAAGGCACAATGTAGCCGAGGAAAGTGCTGAAAGAGCACGCTGTGAAGACGAGGAAGAGACGATCATGGAGCGCTGACTTGTCGAACAGCGCACGACGCTTTCGCTTATGCTTCAACCACGCGGAGCCAGAGAGCAGAGCGGGAATGGAAAGGAGAGCAGCGGCTAAAGCGACGAAACCTATAGCGCGGATAGCCCACGGGAAACCAGCGGTCTTGGTAAGGCGGTCGAACATGATTATGTAGATTACGCCTCCTGGGGATAGATTGTCAGTTGTGTTCCAATGCGTTTCGAGAGAGGAAGTCCTGGAGAAGACATACCAACAGCAATACCACTCATGACAATACCCATAGCTAACGCTCTCTTCTTGCTGAACCACACTCCCACCATGGCTAAACTAGGTATGTATAGCAATCCAGCCCCCAAGCCCATACACACACCCTGGCTGAGGAATACCTGCCAGTACTGTGTACTCAGACTGAGCATCATGATGCCTAGCACGACCAGAAAGTTTCCAACGAGCAGCATGCTGCGGAAATAGCCGAGATCGAATAAGGGTCCGGATAGCGTGCCGATGACGATGAGCAGCCAAGCTTGTACGGTTCCGATCCAGGATATAGCGCTGGGGGTAGACGAGGTGAGGAGCGTAGTGCGGTAGTAGGTTTGGAAGGCGCCGTAGGTTAGGGTGAAGCCCCTGGGTGAGTAGTAGTGTTAGCTCATCTCATCTGAGATGTAGAGACGATGCAAGCGTTAACGTACCAGATATTGATGTATATCATGAATCCTCCAAACACCTTCAGCCAGGCATGGAGTCCGCCATCTGGAGGTGGAGGAATAGCGGATTCGGCAGTCAATGTCGATCTTGCGTCTATTTGCGCTTCTTTGTCTCCTGCTACCTCGTGGTTGCTTGCTGTTTCCTCTTGTTGATGGATGTCATCGTGGATCGAAGACGACGGGCGGCTCATGTCTTCTTGCGAGACTGCTTTGTCTCTAACGACATGTTTCTCTTCAACATCTGACTGCGACATTGAGTGAAGAGTTGTGTCGTCAAGCCTCTTGATTCTCAACACTACGGGGCGACCCTTTATAAGCTCCGCTAGCTATGCCGGTGCACAATATTTAGTCACCGATTTTCTTCCCATGGGTATATGCCGATCATACAATTGTTCCGACTCTTTGTCCGATTCCGGTCTCTGTGTTCCGAGTCATGCAGCACGTCCAAAGTTCCAGAACAAGTAGTCAAAGTAGACTGCGGTCCGATTGTTGATTCTGATGTCGAAAGAACCAAGCAACACATCAACGGAGTCGAGGAGGCGAAACAACAAATGCAGATCAGAAACGCGGAATTTACGCGTGGGGACTCCCACCGTCTAAATATCCCCACAAACACCCTTAGTGCCTGAGAGCCATTTAACGGTGACGCTTGCTAAGCGTTTCCTTTCCTCTTTGGCGGTGTTAGTTGGTGTGCGGGGATAATAGTCCCATGCCGAGGTCGGGACTATGCAGTGGGTTTCGTGGCGTTGAGCGGCACTAGAATCACAAAGAGGACCACAATGTCGGCGTGTTGGCAACCGAAGCTTGTAGCAACGTTTGTTTGCCTCACAATCACTTGATCTATATGCGTTCCTTCTAGAACTGCAATGTACGTTCACTGGATGAGTGAAACTCGACGCGCTTGCATCGCATTAGATGCGTGGCTGGCTGTGAACGAACGCGGAATGCGAGCGTTCAAGTGTTGGCGTGCTGCGAAGATTGATTTGCGATCAGAAGCTTGGGCGAAGCTGCTCAATAGATCCGTCACATGTGGTAACCAATTCTCGGCTTCCGTGCGTCGTCGACCACTGACCCAGCTGCGCTGTCGGGAAGGCAGGAGCTGCACCATGCAGACAAGTTCTGCTGGCAGCTTCATGTTTTTGGCAACGGACAGACATGCCATAGGCTCGCAATATAAGTCCAAGTAGCTGTATATGCAAAGAGTAAATCGCGAAGAGACGATGAAGCGGCGGTGAAGATTAATGAGCTTTGAATTGATGTATCCGTGATGTGTCTGAAAAAGCGACAATCGCAGATGGTCCGGCAAATTTGGTAGAATGTAGCCCGCAAAATATGTTATACAAGGAGTGCGCCGGTGCTGTCCAAGCTCTTCCACCGAGTCCGAGTCCAGGCGCGGTATCGAAGGTCCGTCTTCGAGGTCGCTCGTCGGCCGCTCGGAAGTTAAATCCAGAAAACAATCGATGTCATGTTTCCAAGCTCAAGCCGTTGGCTTTGCGAACTTGGCTTTCCTGGCCTCGGCAGCGGCCCTATCCTTCTCGCTCATCCAGCTTCCGCCAGGACCACCGCCAGTCCTGTTCTCGCGTGTGTTCTCGCGTGGACGGTTGTCCCTGCTACGAGGGCGGTTGTCTCTCCGTCCTCCACGAGCGCCAGTACGACCTCCGTCTCGTCCGCCATCGCGGCGCCCCTCACGGCGCTTGTTGCTACCAGCTTCGTCGCCACCTGCCTCTCGTTGGCGCTTCTCGCGGCGCTCTGGGAGAGCCTCATCGAGACCCTTGGGAGGACCGACCTCTCCGAACTTCTTAGCGCGCTCCAGCTTCTTGAGACCCTCATCGTCCTCGAACTTAGTACCAAACTTCAACGCGCGCTTCTTGCGCTTCTCAATCTCTTCGTCGAGGTTGGTGGCAGCAAGACCCCGTGTGTAATCAGGAGTGGGCTCCTTCTTCTCTTCTGGCTTGGGCTCTGTGCTGGCTTCGGCGGCGCCTTCCGCGGGCGGATCGATGGTCAGGTCGTCGGTTTGCGCAGGGTCGATGTCGGCGACTTGGTTGGGTACGGCTTGCGGGTTCGGTGGCTGGCCTTCGCCTCCAGCGTTTGCGACGATCTCTGCGTTAGGAATGACGGTCTCTTCTGTCGCTGTGGTGGTAGCAGCTGGTGCAGCAACGGCATCATCAGCTTCGTCGTCCCAGTCAATCTCATCTTCAGCGCCAGCGGCAGGCTTGTCGCCAGACTTCTCGTCGTCTTTTTGCAGGCGCTCGACCATCTCTGCCTTCTTGCCGGTGTGAGGTAGCTTGCGCTCCTTGAGGAGCGCCGACAGCTCGTCGTTCTTCATCTTAGAGTAGTCCGACATGGCTGCGCGTGTGGTTATGATAGGGGAGGTGAGCGACGTTGGTGAGGGCGACGCGACACGGACAGGGGCGCGTAATCTGGGAAGCTGCGAACGTGTTCGGATGCGCCACGAGAGTAGTGAAGTCAATCAATGAGTTTTCGCGTGCCGCGCGATAATGGGGAGAAGAGAAGGAGAAAGAAGAAGCGCAGTGTTTGATAAAAGGCGCTGACTGTGGACGAAACAATGGATTGGCTGTCGGCGAGGATCCACGGATGGATCGAGTGAGAGAGCTTTGACCACCGGAGCTAGACTGCTTCCGGTGTCCGGATCGCTCTTGCTGAACCCTGGTATTGTGTTTCAACCGGACAATCACATCGCATCCAGTGGAGCGTGCTCGGAAGTAACTTTGAGATGAACAATAGGATCGTTTCCTGATTTTACAATAGATCGATTGATGCACGCTACCACGTACTTTAATGTCAACAGTACAACCACGCTTTCCAAGACGCGTTTCACTGGGTTCACCTGTTGCGAATCAGAAGGCATATCAAGTCCAGAAACTAAGGCAGCGACTCTGAGCAAAAGCATACAATTGGAAAGCTATGTTTCGTTCACTGCTCGACAAGTGGCGTTTCGACGCGTCAAGAACTGCCCGGCATGCAGCACGACAAAGTCTTAAACTAGCGCAAGTGACGGGTCTGAATTTGTGGCATCCATTCCAGTCTTTGAGCAGACAACCTTGACCAATTGGTAGTGAAGGAAGGTATAGAGAGATGTGCAGGGGATCGCAGGCCCCATTGAGGCATCTCAGAACGAGGGTCCGAGCTGATGCGTCATCGGCTATCGGCGGTATTCTCACGAACAAAAGTGTCAGACAGCCTCCCAAGCATCACTCGAGATGCCCTCATGTTCATAGCCCGGACACGCACGTGCTTCTTGCGCGGTTTACCAATCGCTCGTCTTTACCACAACGCTGCCAAAATGGAGAAGCGCGACTACGCGGTACGTCAGCAGCAGTGCGCATGTGGGTTGAGCTGATAGTCACAGGCTGCGGTTGCGGCGCTGAACACGCTTCAGTCCAACTTCTCCATAGTGGATGCGATTCGCAAGTCTGGTCGGGGTATGAACCAACAAGCGATACCCGAGATGATCGAATGGTGTCGCAAAGCTGGATATGAGGTGTGCGGCTCCCACTGACCCCACCCGAAGACTGCGACTGACGAAGCTGTCAGCCCTCAGAGTTCGACCGGTTGAAACCTATACACATCGCCGGTACGAAAGGCAAAGGCTCTACGAGTGCTTTCATCTCGTCTATCCTGTCACAATACACCACCCCCGGCGACGCGCAGACCCCACCCTCAAAAATCGGTCTCTATACCTCCCCACATCTACGATTCGTACGCGAGCGCATACAGATCGATAATGAACCGATATCAGAGGAGAAGTTCGCGAAATACTTCTTCGAGGTGTGGGACAAGCTGGAAGCAGCGGCAAAGGCGGAGAATGCGCCAGCAGAGGTCCCTACAAAGCCAGTATACTTCCGCTATCTGACGCTCATGGCGCTACACGCATACCTGAAGGAGGGTGTGGACTCGGCTGTCATCGAATGTGGAATTGGCGGCGAGTTCGACAGTACAAACATCCTCACGAAACCCACCGTCACAGCCGTCACAACGCTAGGAATAGACCATACAGCGATGCTTGGTTCTACGCTTCCAGAAATAGCCTGGCATAAAGCCGGGATCTTTAAGGAAGGCAGTACCGCATTTACAGTGCGCCAAAAGGAGGAAGCTATGACAGTCTTGGAAGAGCGGGCAGCCGCGAAGGGCGCGAAGCTACACACTATTGATGTGCATCCAGCTTTAGCGAACAACGAGATCAAGCTTGGGCTAGGTGCAGCCTTCCAGAAGATCAACGCGTCCGTGGCGATAGCTGCCGCAGCGGCGCATCTGCGAGTACTTGGGCACACTTCTGTACCCGACCCAACCATTGTTCCGCATATTGAGCTCCCCTCTGAGTTCATTCGCGGTCTGGAACAAGTGCGATGGGCTGGTAGATGCGAGATCAGACGCGAAACCAACGTCGCATGGCACATCGACGGAGCCCACACTATGGAAAGCATAGAGGTCACTGGCAAATGGTTCGCGGAGCAGATAACACTGGCGACTTCCACTGCCACCTCTCAATTCAAGGTCCCTCGGATGTTGATCTTCAACCAACAGACACGAGACGCGAATGCGCTGGCCAAAGCCTTGTATACAACCCTACAGAGCGGCATCACTTCGGGATCACAGTCTCCTTTCACTCATGTCATCTTTACGACCAACCAAACATTCAGCGAGGGGTACAAGCCTGACCTCGTTTCGATAAACACCAATCAGCAGGACGTAGACACGCTGGCAGTTCAGAAGGCGCTCGCGAACACATGGTCTGAGATAGACAGCACTGCAGAAGTGCATGTGCTGCGCACAATCGAAGAGGCAGTCGTAACCGCACGAAAGGTGGCGCAAGACTATGCCAAGGAAGCCGGGGCTGATGCAGAAGTCATGGTGCTGGTGACTGGAAGCTTGCACCTGGTTGGCGGTGCGCTGGAAGTGTTGGAAACGACCACAGCGCAGTGAAGAGCGATACCCATAGACACCACAGAGATGAGAAAACGCTTCAACACGCGTTAAAATTCGTTCAAAGAATTGCATATACTATACATTACACGTCTTGAACCACCTACTCAGACTTTGAATAGACGTGGCTTGGGCTGATCGCAGGTCGCGTGCTCACTTGCCCGCTGAAGCAAATTCCCCTTTCGAGAGATCACAATATGGGTCTTCCCTCTTCCAAGGTCTTGCTTCCAGGGTTAGAAGCAACGCCAGCACGTACTATCCAAACGAGAGATAATTCTGCATATTGTAGTCAGCATTGAGAGTACTACAT